ATCTATGAAAGTGACAAAGTATTTGTTACCTCCAATTAAATCCACCTGGATAAGACCACACAAATCAGAGTATATGACTTCAAGAATTGCACTCAACTTGCTTTTTTCATCCTTGCCGAAGCTATTCTTATGTTGCTTTGCCTGCACACATTATTCACACACTTCACTTAGAATATCGATTTCTAGTAATCCGGAAACCATATTTGTTCTCTTCAAATCTCGGATGTCTTTAAACTTGAAATGGTCAAGTCTACAGTGTCATATTTATTCATCTCTGCTAGTTGCAGTTGTAAGGCACTTATGCTCCATCACATTAAGCTCAATCTTGAAGGTTCTATTCTGAGACATTGGAGCCTTCAAGATCAACCTACCACCTGAGTCGGGAACCCTCATTATTTTGTCTTCAATCGACACCTTGTAGTTCTTTTCGACCAATTGCCATGTGCTGAGCAAATTACTTTTCATGCTTGGTATATACAATACATTAGAAATTACTGACTTCTTTCCATCTTTCCTCATAATCAAAACATCATCAAACCTTCAGCTGCTAGAGTATTGTCAATTGCAAATTTCACCATGTTCTTCATTGAGGGTTTATATTTACAAACCAATCCTTTCGACTAGTCATGTTTGATGAGCATTCTAAGTCCAAGTACCATTGATCTTGGAATCTTTCTTCATCTCTTGTTATGACCATCAACAACATCTCTTATTTTTCACGCTTTTCTAGCTTTGCATTAGTTTCTTGATTCTTTTGCTTTTTAGGACAATCGCTAGAATAATGATCATACTTCTGACAATTGTAACACTGAATATAACTTTTTTCAGGTTTTCGACCACCACCTCTTCCTCTACCTGCAACACCACCTCTTTAGTTGCCTTGGTTCCAGGGTTTTCTCTAATTTGACCAGTTTCCTTCTTGCTGATTTCGACCAGTCAAATTGTTGTAGCCTCATCTTCCTTTGTTGTCATTCCATCTTCCTTTGCATTTCTTTTCTTTTGTTGATTGCGCCTGCAAAGCCACATCACTCTTCAACTTTCCTATAACTCATTTAGTTATCATTTGCTCATGAGATTCAAGCGTCCATTGAAGCTCTTCCTTTGTCAATATTGAAAAGTCTTTCGACTTTTCTATGGCTATTACCACGTGGTCGAACTTTGGAGCCAATGACTTTAAGATCTTTGCAACAATTGATATTGATGTCAACACTTCTCCACATACCTTGATTTGATTCACTAGTTTTGTAACTCTAGTGAAAAAATTTGCTATGCTTTCACTTACTTCCATCTGAAGCAATTCATACGTCCTTTGTGAGTTTGTAACCTCACCTCTTTCACCTGCTCTGCGCCTCCAAACGATTTCTCCAAGATTTCTCATGCTTCTTTTTTATTCTACGTCACTAACCTTTTCAAAATTATCTGGATTAACGCGTTGATGAATTATAAAGAGAGATTTATAGTCTTTTTCTTCAATTCTTTGTATGCAATATTTTCTTGATCCGTCGCGTTTTTTGCAAGCGATGTTACTCCTTCCTTCACAAGATCCCAAAGATCTTGATAACAGAAAACCAACTTTATCCGCTTGCACTAATTCTCATGATTATTGTTCTTGAGAATCAAAATACTCGCTGGAAAATGCCCGTTTAGATGATTCATTCCATCGTGATTTTCTTCCCACGAATCACAACCAGAGCTCTAAATACCAGATGTTGGAATTAACTCAAAACTTTGAGAGTTCCGAATCAATCTTGATGAACAAGATTCAATCAACTGATCAAAATCCCTTGTTCTTCACTCTTTACTCGAGTGAATCAATCACGCCTTGATTGCAAAAATAATTATGTGCATCAACCGTTAATGGAAGAAGAAATAAAAAGTGAATAAGAAAGAATATTAGGGTTTAACAAAAATAGAAAATAATATAATTTCTGCAGAGTAACTCTCTGCCCACAAACTGTGAAAATCTTATTAATTTTGCAACTACAAGTGATTACAAGATTATTCTCTATTCTTCTTACTCAAAATAGGGGTTACTTCCTCTATTTATAACTGAACTAGCTTGATCCCTAAGGTAAAACCCAAAAACACAAAAGTCCAAAATTTATATTTTGGTCTAAGTAGGAAGTCTGTGTCAAGCAATCTGCTTCGACACTTCGACATCTAATGCTACTCGACACACACTACAAATTTTGATACATCCTTATTTCTGTCGAGCACCTGCTTTAACACAACCGTGTTTGGATATTATGAAATGAGCGGAGTGGAATAGAGCATAACAGAGTTGAATGGAACATAATGGAGCGAAGCGGAACAAAGATACAATCTCACTGTTGGAAAATTTTAGGATGGAACAAGAAGTTGTTTATTCCGCCCAAATTTAGAGGAAGAAATATGATGGTAAGCGATGAAATAAAATTGAATTCATATCACTCAATTCTCTTATACTTCATCTGATTTTAAATTATCCAAACAATAAATTATCATTACATTCTATCACATTCTTCTGTGTTCCATTTTATCCCATTAACTCAAACAAAGTCTATCTTTATTAAGAGTCACACATCCGATAATATATGACCTGAACATTTGTTTATAAGTGAGGACATTTCTCACCCTATCAACCTATTTATAGAGTTGAGTTAGGCTCAACCATATTTCTTAATACGGTATCAAGAGTCTCGTTTAAGATCCGACGGGTCACCTGCTATCAGGTTTCCGCTATCGAACCACCCACCATTTATTTTCACGTTTCAGATGTTCAGTCCTGAGCGTGAGAGAATGTGTTAAGAGTTCCACATCAAATAATATATAGCTGAATATGTGTTTATAAGGGAGAACAATTCTCACTCAATCAACCAATTTTGTAAAATTGAGTTATGTGCAACCATATTTTTTAACCTTCACTAACGCGCTCAATTTTAAGATCACGCTCCGGTAAACTACCACAATGGTTGAACGCTAGAAAAAAAAAGCCTGTGTTTTTCTTTAGAAAGATAAGCCACCGCTACGACTAAACATGGTTTCACATTTAAAGATCATCTAGTCAATGTTGTGTTGTAACTGTTCACCGATGATAAAGTGTAGTAGTTCCATAATCATTTATTTTTATTTTTATATCCAATCAACTTCATTTTTGTAATTTTTTTTGTTGTCATTTTCTCTTTTAACCGTTGAATTTATCCAAAAATCATAAATAATTTATGAAGGATAGCATGAGATAATAAAGCAGAATGGATCCAAATCTAAAAGAACATACAAGACCAATAAAAAAAATACAAAACAAACTTCAAAAGCCGCAGATGTACGAAAGAAAATTTAAACAATTATTTATTGGTGCAACTTTTGCTAAATGCATCAATTATTTTTGTCATGTTCTTTTAACATGCTTATCTTTTAATATATATATATATATATATATATATATATATATATATATATATATATATATATATATATATATATATATATATATATATATATATATATATATATATATATATATATATATATATGACAAGCAAAACATCCAACAGAGACAGATAGGGATTATATTATATATCTTTTTAATTGGTGGAGCTGATGCACCCCACCATGCCACCACATGTAGGTTTACAAAATGAACAAAGACACTTGTTAATATTAAATTTTTTTTTATAACTTATATTCGTGTTATCTTTTTTTCCAAGGATTCTAAAATAAATTTATATATAGTTAATGCCTAAGTTTTGAATTTTTACTAAAAGAGATTTTCATACTTTGCGACTGACTTGAATATAATTTGTAGAAAACCAAATAAAAAGTCATCATTATTACAAATGAAGTGAATTATAATGGTATACCAACTTTTATTTTAATTATGAAATTAATAATTATTGATATTGGTACTTAAATTTCTTAAAATATGATTATATAAATAATATATAAGTAAATGAACTATATGCTAAATAGATTAATTTAATGATTTTTAAAAGTTGTAAATATTACTATTCTTTTCAAATTTAATTTAATTTTATAACGTAAATTATATTGATCACCTAAATATAAGATATATTAATTAATTTAGTTTTATAACATAAATTATTGTGAGAAATATTGAACGAATAAATGTGATGAGTTATTTGACGAGGATGAGGCATAAGTTTTTAAAATGATTGTTTTTTTGATTTTATTTATAAGAGAAATTTTTTATTTTTTTATGTTTATTAGAAAAGATTTTGTAAAATAAATAATTAATTTAATATTTTTTAAATTTAAATACTCTTTTAATTTCTGTAAATTAAATAGTTTTTTATTCTGATCCTTAAGTTTTATTTTATTTTATTCTCTAACAATTAATTTTCTTTTAGTTTTGTCTTCTGACGTTAAATTTTTGTTAAAAAAATGATGATAGGGCTAACACCGTTGACGTTGCAATAAAAAAATTGGAATTTTCCTCAAAAGAAATTGAACACGTGTCTTTTTTTTTAATAATGCTATAATGCTTTCCGCTACAGCACTACACAGAATGCACTTCCTCCAACCTTTACCTTGCAATGTGTGATTAGCCACTTAAGTTCCTGACGCCATTCACATGGGAAATGTTGAAACCCCAACCACACCAGGATTTGTTGCCAACAGGTTGTAAACGGTGGACAATCAAATAAAAGGTGGTCAATTGTTTCTTCCTTGTCGCAGAAATTACACCTGTCGTAGGTCGTAAGGCCAAGTCTTTTGAGCCGTCCCTTTGTCGCAAGTCTACGGTGGCAAGCCATCCACATAGTAAATAGGGCTCTCGGTATAGCAATAGTGTTGGATAGCATGTGTTTTCATCCAACATCAGGATCATCCTTCTTTAGGAACTGGTACACTCTTCCCACTGAGTATTTCTCCTTCATTTCATACCAATCTTCCATGCCAATCATGATGACTCTGTGTCTAAGAACAACTTTTAAAATCCACGACATACCCTGTTTTTCCTGGACTTGCATAATATCTGTAGTTTTGAAATAAAACGTGTGGATTCATTTCACCCAAAGAGTATCCTTCTTGTTGCAAAGGTTCCACATCAGTTTTGTTAAACAAGCCGTGTTCCAATCTGATAAGTCCAACACATCCAGACCGCCCTTCCGCCGAGGTTTACAGACATTCTTCCACGCAATTAGGGATTTTCTCGATTTCACATCGCTACCTGTCCACGGGAAAGTCCTGCAAATAGACTTAATGGTTTTGATCACATGCTTGGGGAAAGGGAGGCAGCTCATCCAGTATACTGCAATAACAGTGATGATACTGTTAATCAGTTGAAGTCTTCCTGCATAACTCAGTAATTTAGAGCTCCAATGATGAATCCTGCTTACAATTTTGTCCACCAAACTCATATAATGAGGAGTTGAAAGCCTTTTACACGTGAGAGGAACTCCCAGGTAACGAAAAGGTAAATCCCCTTCCTTATACGAGGTAGAAGCCAAGATGTCATTTTTGGTCTCATTTTCCACACCTCCGAAGTACACCCTACACTTCGCAGGGTTAACTACTAGGCCAATGGACTGGGAGAACGTTTGCAGGTGATTCATAAGTAACTGTACATATTTTCTATCCCCACGGGTGAAGAGGAGAACATCATCTGCAAAGCTAATATCAATGATTTGCATCTTTTTGCATTTCGCATGGAAGTTGTAGTCAGGAACTTTGCTTAGCTGGTGAAGGAGCCCGTGAAAGTATTCCATAGTAAGAACAAAAAGAAGGGGAGAAATAGGGTCACCTTGTTTAAGACCCCTTTTAGCCTTCATGCTTCTAGTGATTCTGACAGCAACATTGAACTTGTAAGATACTGTAGTAACCGCCAGCATAATCCATTTAGTGAATTTGTGAGGGAAACCAAATTCCTTGAGAATACACTCTAGAGCATACCAGTCCAGGGTATCATAGGCTTTCTGGATGTCCAGCTGCAACAAACATCTCGGAGTATCGCCTTTTCTGCTGTAGCCTTAGATTAGCTCGTACGCTAATAAAATATGATCATGGATGTTTTGTCCGGGGATGAAGGCAGCCTGTCTCTGACTGATAATACTAGTAAGAACCTTGCTTAATCTTCCGGTCAAGATTTTTGATATGATTTTGTAGAGCGTAGTACAACAGGATATCGGTCTAAAGTCCTTCACACAATTACCACCATTACCTTTAGGAATCAAGGATACAAGAGTACAATTAATAGTAGGGTACATGTTGAAATTGTCGAAAAAATCCATAACTGCAGCAATGGTATCTTTTTTAATGATGCTCCATGAGGCTTTGAAAAATTTTGCCCCAAAACCATCCATACCAGGGGCTTTCAGGTCACCAATGTCATGTAGGGCACTATAAATTTCTGCTTCAGTGGGGGGACAGACCAACACATCTTTATGTACACTAGTAATGTGAGGACCAACTCTCATAGCAGTCAAGTTTATACCTTCCATGTTATTATTAGGACTACCCATGAGGCTGCCATAGAACGACAACACCTCATCCTCAATGTCCTCGACCTCTCTAAGGATTTCACCTGTCATAAAACACATCTCAGTAATAGCACTGTTGTTTTGTCTAGCTTTTACCTGGGCATGAAAAAACATGTTGTTGCCATCTCCCAATCTGAGCCAGCTGATTTTAGCTCTCTGCCTAAGCACTTGTTCCTCAATTTCACTCTAGTAACAAACCTCAGTTGATCTGGTTTTAACAAGTTGGATAGTTTCAGGATTATCAAGGTCCTCTCTGAGCTTCAGTTGGGCCTCCTGTAACTTCTGTCTTGCATTCTTAAGGGCAGCAGTGGCACCCAACAAAGGTTTACTCATCTTCTGCACAACATTTTGGCATCTAAGCAATTTCCTCCACGTTACATACATGGGATTACCCTGGATAGGGACATTCCACCTATTAGCAATGTGTTCTTGAAAACCCTCAACCTCAGTAGAACAGTTAAGGAACTTGAACTGAGGTGTTCTATTCACAGTATTATCAGGGCCAGACAGCAGCAGAAGCGCATGATCAGAGATGCTAGGGGTAAGGATTTTTAGGCACATGGTGATGTACTTTTGAAACCACTCAGTGTTAGCCAGTCTGTGGTTAATCTTAGAGTGAATGATGTTGTCACCTTGCCGATTGGACCATGTGTAATAATCTCCAACTGTATCCATTTCACTGAGGTTACAATGGTTCATCATGTCAGTTAAGTCTTTATACTCTTTCATCTGCACCATGGATCCCCCTCTTCTGTCAATAGTCTGAACAACATTATTAAAATTGCCAATAAGCAACCATGGTCCCTGTTGGTTTTGGTTAATGTGTTTAATATATCTCCACAAATTCTTACGATAGTCCATTCTATTTGCGCCATACACTGCTGTAAGCCAGAATTGAAACATACCCTGCATATCATAGACACCACAATGAAGAAGTTGCCCAGTGCTAGTGACTTTCCTGATTTCAATCTTAGCATTGTTTCATCATATCCAAATTCTACCATTAGCATGATCAGCATAGTTATCCATAAACGAGCCTTTAAGCTTCATCTTGCACCTAATAGTATCAGCCTTATCTTGCTTCACTCGAGTCTCAAGCAAAATACAAATCATTGGGTTAAGAGAACGGAGGCGGGAGCTAACCTCTTTAGTCTTAACCATTTTATTCAGGCCCCTCACATTCCAGGACACTAACATGGATTAGTGTTTTGGTTGCTTCCAGGGTCATTCATAATCCCCAGCAGCCCAAACCCATTTTGGCATTGGATAGTCTCATCCTCATTTGTACTACCTGTGATTTTCCTTTTACTGTTACTAATGATCGGCGTCCAGCCCTCATCATTCTGTTGGAAATCATTACTAGTATCCCCTGCTGCTATTGTTCCACTTGAACTGGCCTTGGCTTGCACCCTTTCCTTTTGTGTCTGCTCTTTCACCTTCTCCTTCCATTCTTTAGCAGGCTTCGAAGGCTTATCACAGTTATGACCAACCTTATGGCAACGTTGGCAGTAAAGAGGTTTCCACTCATATTCAATCGGTTGTTTCAGACGTGCACCTTTTTTGTCTCTAATTAGAATGTGTGTCTTTAGCTCTTGTGTAATGTCAAATTCCACCAGGATACGAGCATATGAAACCCTGAGCTTGTTTGTCGTGCATTCATTTGTAACACGTGCCTTTTACAATAACAAATTATTCTCTATCCACTATCCAGACCAATTTTTCATTTTATTTATACCATTATAACACGAATATATATTACATAACTGCATTAATATTATAAAAATAATTTATTAAATAGTTGAGTTTTTAAATTAATAAAATATTCTATTTGTCGCTACTGCGAAAATCGGCGCCGGCTAAACAGAAGAGTCGCCACCGTGCGTTATTTATCCCACAAAAGGGAAAGGAAACGCTCAGAGTAAACCTAACGCAAAGACGGGAAAGGAATGGTCATCGCAACCAAATCCTGGATTCGGGAGTCGGTTACGCAAGGGGAAGGTATTAGCACCCCTCACGTCCGTCGTACTCGACGGGATCCACGCTTGTTTTCTAGTACGGATTGTTATTCTATCTACACTAAAGGTCTGGGTTAAAGAAAAAGAAAATGACTCGGCAAAGTATCGCACTTTATGCCTACGTATTCCCGTCGGGAACGAGAAATCAGAGTCAACGTAGTTCGCCTGCCTATGGGAAAGGAGGGGAAGGTTGCTCGCTAGGATACGGAATCCTATGCCTACGTACTTTCATACAGCATGAAAGATTAGAGCAAATGTAGTTCGGGCCACGGAAGACGCAATTGTATGCATGTTTTTATCTCCTTATGAAAGGGTTTTTCCTGATTAAGAGTCCAAGCGGACAAAAATGACGTTTTGATTGGTTTTTAGTCTTTTACGCAAGAACTGTTTTTTTATGACGTTTGAAATCTCTGACGCACTAGAGACTATGATTTGAGAGTGACCACGTCGTATGTCACCCTAAGGGGAACACACTAAGCAATCAGATTACTGAAGAGTGACCCTCCAGCAATCCTCTCTCAAATGGCTTAAGGCTCGTAGCGTACGGCATCGATTATCCTTATTACTGTGTTTTGAATTGTTCTGAGATAGAAGAGAAAGAAGTCTAAAAACCTAGGGTTTGAAAGGGGAATCAAAACTACCCTAATGTTATCATACACGAATTACAACCTAATGTATGTCATAATTCCCTCATGCACGGAGGAAATCAGAGATCCTAGGGGATGAACGGAAAAGAAACCACAAATATACAGTAAACAATAAAATGCATGAGATGCAACAGAACAAGCGAGGAAAGGGAGTCCCACTCCACCTCGAACCTAGGAAAACAATAGGCAAAGTGAAACAGCTTCACTTCAGACCTAGGGGAAAATTAACAAACAATACAGCAAAGAAAACCACACCCAACACATACTCAGACAGCAACAACAGCTCTTACAGTAAGTAGGTCAAACAGCACCAGCTCTGACAGCTACAGTTGATTAACAGCAAAAGGTTGACAGTGACAACTTCAAGCAAGATCCCATTTTTACTCTTCAATGATACCCAAACTTCATATAAGCTCTTATCTCCAATAATCTCCAAACTTTGGCAAGCCATGAACCCTAACCAGTAGACAGCTTCAGTTGGCAGCAAAACCCTAGTCTTCAACATATATCCAGCTTTGACAGGTACAAGCTTCCTCTTATCCAGTCATCAATGAACTTCATCTTCAATAGGCTCCCAATCTTCAATGCAAACCCTCACAAGAGAGAATCAACTAATAGAGGAAGTTGGAATGTTAAGAGGCTTAATGATAACCCAGGGAAATCACTAAGATCTTAACACAACAAGTGAAAGGTATCCTCAAGGTTCTACCCAATCAAAGTATGCTATACATCCCTCCTAAGGAGAGATGGAACTCTTTTAGGGGACCTTGTGTCACAGGATGGAATAGAGGCACAAGAAGCTCTCTATGTTTGACAGAAGAAATCAGTTTACTCTAGAGCTCTCCCTATATCTCCTACCTCATAAGTCTTCACAAAGCATCTTCAAGCACAAGCAACTTCAAGCTCCAAGCATCCTTATTTGTCTTTAATCATATCCAAGGTCTTCATTAGCTTTAACAAGCACAACTCAAGCCCAACACCCCATGGAAATGCCCAAAACCCAACAAACAAAACAACATCCCAAGAGGGAAACACACCAATATCACCCAATTTGCAAAAATCAAATAAAATGGAAATACTCATCATAAAATCCTAGATTAATTTCTAAGGGAACCTAACTATGTACCCTATACCCCATATAAACCCCAAGGCCTAAATCAAACTAAAAACCCACAAACTATGTGTTGAAATGCACCTATGTCAAGGTAAACCCTAATCCTAATCACCCTAAAGTTTATGGTTCAAAACTAAACTAAATTCAATCACAAAAATGTGATAAAATTCCAGGGAGAACCTAGTACTGTATTCTAACTATAGCAAAAAGAATGGCACCAAAAATCAAAGTCACATGTTCATACTAAATTCAGCAAGTTGCAATATCAAATGAAAATGAAATAAAAACACTTAAACTTGTAAAAATGCCATAAAAAAGAAAAACGCATGAATTAATATTTTTATTCTTTTATTATTTTCTTGAGGTTTTAAGGAAAATGGGGAAAAAAACTCCCAATCAAAAATATTAATTTTCCAATTATTTATGATTTTTTCAATTAACCTAATAAAATGAAGAATTAAAATGAAAATAAAAGAAAATGAGAAGCAGGCGTGTTGAATAGCAATGTTATGCAGTGTAAACAATCATCTGGGCCCAAAAGGGGGTGTAGATAGCCAAGCGCGCCTAAGCCCAAAC